TAGCTTTACCAAAATATTCGGAAGCTTCGTTCGGCCACACCTGGAATTCGCTATACAGGCATGGAGACCTTGGACTGTCAAGCACTGTACCGTCTTAGAGAAGGTCCAGAGACGAGCGACGAAAATGGTCAAAGGTCTGGGAACACTGCCCTATGAAAGCAGACTTTCAACCCTAGATCTATTTCCCCTTTCCTGCAGGCAACTTAGAGGGGCATCATCTTTACCTTTCGTATCATGAAAAACCTGGATTGTTGCTTCGTTCCCGAAGATTTTTTTATCCAACTTTGCGCGGGCATCCGCTTAAATTACGCCCCGAGAAAGCAAGGATTGACGGAAGAAAGTTCTTCTTCAGCAACAGAGTAGTTGCAGCGTGGAACGCCCTTCCCGAAGAAGTTGTCCTTTTCACAAGTGTTAGTACATTTAAGAGCAGGCTGGACACGCATCAAATCACATTCGGACAAACAGCCATGTAAAACGACATTAATTTACACCGCATTACACCATACTACTCGTGATTAAAGAGTAGTTATGTTTTATTACTATTTGGACCCCGGACGAATGTTTTGTCTTTCGCCAGACTCACAGCCGTGTACAAGGACATTGCATTACATTACAAGGACATGTACAAGGACATTGAATTACACTGCAATTTACTACTTGTGATTAACGAGTAGTAATGTTTCATTACTATTTTGACTACCTGTCAGACGTTGTCATGCAATTGGCGTAGTTCCTCCGTTTTACTTTGTGTCCATATATTTCCTATCATCTTGTTACCAATAGGAAGTTCAAAGGCGTTCGCCTATTTTTCCCTCAACAAATGATACTGATACTGATATCACCAGCCGCTGTGCGGCTACTGACGAGTGAGCGCCTCTAGGCACAACAGAACGAGTATGGCCCGTTACGATGAGCGCTTCTCCGCCATCGTTAAAATGCCTGATCTCAAGCGACAGGACAATGAGCCGGTAGCTCAATGGTTGAGGCCTCGAAAGTCTAGGTAACACATCACGAGTTCACAACTTTGGTTGCCGCAACACCATGGGATTGGTCAGGGCTGGCTGAGGATGGCTAATAGGACAGAAACGACCATTCGAGTCTCACTTGTCTTTGGCAGTAAGGCTCCTCTGTCAGCAATGTTAGAAAGGTGGGAACACCCTGCAGTTATGCCGATCGATTTGGGCAGTCGTCAACTCAACTGCTTACTACATAAAAATCCGATCGAATTCGAAAAGGTCTGTCCCGAAGGCCTTGCTTCAAATTCGTTTAATGGAATCTGACTATATTACAGAGGCCTGGAGCTCTCATCAAGAAGGCAACCGAACGCACCATGGTTTAAACAAGCTGACCTCCAGCGAGCGTTGGCCGCAGGTGTCCCTGAGAAGATTTAGCTGCTCATCGGTCAGGGTAGAGGAAGGTATGAAGATTATGACTGTGTTAGTTGACTGGTCCTCTGTTGAAGCCAGCAGGCAAACCTGACTGGAGAAACGCCGGATGAAGGTCGGACTAGGAAGGCGGATGGACTTGATCCGGAAGGTTTGCTCTTCGTGATCGTCTTTTATAACGGATGCGGGGGAGAATGATGAGGATACGCCTAAAAAGGAGTTGAGGTAAAAGCACGACAAAAACGTACAGTAAATATGCGTCAGACTGCCAGACGGTGGAGGAAAATAGGGAAAGGATGAAGCCTTAAAACTAACCTGATTCCCGCGTCCGGTTTTTCTTGTGAAGCCAGATAACCTTGTTTGACTGCTGACGATGCAACAGAGTGTCAAGGCGAGAGGCAAGTTTGCTTCTACAATGAGACAGGTCCAGGATGAGAATTAAGTTGATGTAGTACGGCATATGCCTATTATAAACCGTCAGCTCTCTACAGGGTACCCTTGAAATAACGAATGATAATGGTCAGTTTGGCCGTTGAAAGCTACAACTTTCGCCGCGAGCCATATGGAGTGTGGCCGGTGACAGTGAGGTAGACTTTGTTGTAACGGTAGCCAAGGCCGAGATGTTACCGTCTAATTTCGCCTTGTACGAGGCCCCAAAGGAAGAAAACGATAAGAAGTGGGCGAACGCAGAAGTCTTTGAGTGCAAAAGGTACAAGAAATTTAGGGCAAAAAATGAGTGTCAGCTAGGGTCATCGAGCCAATCAACTTCTCTTCTGGCGTAGGTAGTGGCAGGATTGGCTGGTGACTAACGGCTGACTGCAACTTTAATTTCAACTTTTCGATTGATGTGACTGCGAGTTGCGTTCGCCGCCTGTGGGCGATCGATAGCCTGCTGTGAGTGCGGCTGGCTGCAACAGGCTAACTGCCTGTTAGGCTTCTGCTAACACTTCCCCCCTTTGGGATGAATCGCAAGATTTGAGTTGCGGGTTCACTTGATACGGAACCGGTTGCATTCTTTTTTCCGGCCCAGTCGCCTAGAGCCTGAAGTTCGTGCCTTTTAGCACTGGGGTCGCTCGTGGAGAGGTCTAGGGAGTCAGTGG